TATAGGACGTTTCCTATCAGATGTCAAATATACGTTTAGAAGATGTCTTTAAGATGTTTATGAATTAGAATTAATGTAAAACTGACATCTTAAAGATGTCTATCAGATGTTTGTGCACAGCAGATGCTTTCCAGATGAAGCGATCTTTAACAGACATCTTGCAGACGTACTTGTGCTATCTGGGTATATATCAGGCAATGCATCACACATACACACAATATTGATATCATATGTTAAATCTCCTCATTCTGAAAGACTTAACCTCAAGAACCACTGGTGTCAATCACATAATTTGTTAAATATGTGAGATTATTTGAAAAATCAAACAGGTGAAAAGTTATCAAAATAATTTTGATCTATAAAACCATTTAGAAGATATAATATATTTTTTTTACATGTGTGTCAAGTATGGCTCATTATGTGTAACATGTGTATATGTTGTGTGCACAAAGAAGAAACTTATCAAAAACTGTGTACATATGGAGAACCTGTCATTTTGAAGTCATGTTTCTTAGTTTCATGAATTTCTGAGATAACACTTTATTTTGATAGTCCACTTTAGACATTCTACTAACAGTAAGTAACTGTGCAACTACATGTCATCTAGCAGTCGTTAGAGTATTAGTAGACTGTCTGCTTAATAGACACTTTACTAACACTTTACTTTGATGAGCCCACAACATACAACATACTGACTATGATAAACTTTGCAAGTATATGTCAGCTTATTCTACTAACCCTAAACCTAACCTAACTGTGTACTCTTAGAGTTAGTTGACATGTAGTTGCAAATTATATATTAGTATATATATTAGTTAAAAAATAATTTATAATGTAGTTGCAAAGTTACTTATAGTTAGTAAAATGTCTAAAGTGGACTATCAAAATAAAGTGTAACCATTTCTGATGCTCAGAGGGCTCCACTAGAGGGACCTGCAGGATCTTTTTACTGTATCAGTTTCCAGCATTGGCAGATAATTAAATGCTTGCAACCATTGTTTTATTAATTACGATGCACTGGTAATATAGATGTATTTATTTATTTATTTATTGCCAGCATTTTACTGTGAATTTTCAGGACTTTATTTTTTATTTTTTTGCAATATATTGCCTTATAGGTATATATATATATATATATATATATATATATATATATATATGGCAATATAGAGGGCAATATATGTCCTATATTACATTTCTGTATGGGATATATCAACTTTGCTGCATTACTGTGAATTTGTCTGTGGTCAAAATGACACCATCCACTTTTACACAATAAATGTTTCAAAATAATTCAGAAAATATACTGATTTACTCAGAAACAGAATGAAAGACAGAGTCAAGATAAAGAAAGAGTTTAATTTGTCTTTGATTCATGTCTGAGCCTGAGCACTCATGTAATCTATATTTTAAAAAGTTTTACTTGATGCTTTTGTTTATAAAATTCTGTCAGAATTGTTTGTTACTTCAGTTGTTCCATTGCTCGTGTGGGCAGGAGTCAAGAAAGAGGAAGGAACATTCTTGTTTGCACAAGTATTTCAAAATAAACAGTGTAAACCTTGAGAAATTCATCAGTTTAACGGCTGCTGGAGATCAGACTAAGCAGAACACGGTAAGAGTTACTCTGATTAACATGTGAATATAGTCTGATTAATACGGTTGTAGAAACCACTGATTTACTCGATATGAGATATTCTCATTGAAAACTGCTTTATGGAGATGTTTTTGAAGCTAAAGACTGTGTTTTTCTCATGTTGTGTGTGTTATATTGGTCTTGTAGTGACGTCAGTCAGAATGGCTCCTCCTCTTCCTCTGCTGATTCTGCTCGTGATTCACAGTGAGTCGCTCAAACTTTCTGAAATGAACTTGTTCTTTATGACTTCATTTAACTGGGGGTCTGCAAATCACTGGACCCCCTGTTTAATGTTTCACAAACGTTTTATTATTATTATTATTATTATTATTATTATTATTAATCAAAAATACAATTTTAGTCAGAGAAAAAAATAAAATAAATAAAATATCTCCCAAACACTAGAATGTTCAATGTTAAATTAAAATCATTGTTAAAGTTGAGAGCATAAAGGTTTGAGACATCATGAGGAGCAACATGAGAGAATCCTTTTGGGTGAACGATCCCTTTCATGTGTGTTTCAGGAGCTTATGGTCAGTATGATTGGGGTGTGAATTACAGATATTTCCACATCTGTGCACTGAAGGGGTCAACAGTGACAATGAACTGCAATTATACATACCCTACTGGACATCAGATCATGAAAGCGTTCTGGATCCAAACAAATATTAAAGATAAATATGTAGAGCCTCTAGATCTGTCTGAGGATCCTGAATACAGTCAGAGGCTTCAGTATCTGGGAGACAAACAGCAGAGCTGCACCATCAGACTGAGTCATGTGACACAGAAAGATTCACACAAGTACTGTTTCAGATTCATCACTGATAAACCTGATGGAAAATGGACTGGTTATCCAGGAGTGACTCTTACTGTCACAGGTGACTTTCATGAGGCTGAGCTCTTCTTCTGTGCATTATGTTGAATAATAATCAGTGTATGACAGCAGCACTAGATATAATGTGTGTGTTGTGTTCAGATCTTCAGGTGGAGGCTCCTGAGAGAGTGACAGAGGGTCATAATGTCAGTCTGACATGTAAAAGCAGATGCACTCTGACTGACAGAGCAACATTCATCTGGTACAGAAACTCACAGCCATTAACTGAGAGAAGAGACGGAAACAATCAACTCCTGCTGCAGTCAGTCAGAAGAGAGGATGCAGGCAGATACAGCTGTGCTCTACATGGACACAGTTACATCTCTCCTGATGCTCGTCTCAGTGTCACATGTGAGTATTTACTTTATTTTGTGTATGTACTTTTTTCTTTAAAGGTTCCAGGGTTCCAGGTTTACAAGGGCAAACACTGTGGACTCCACCTACTGTAAAAAATAATAATAATAAAAAATATATATTTTTTTAATTATCAGTTTCCACTGGCTCAGTTTAGTTGTGTTTACTTTTATTAAGTATTTCAACTTGACAAATTGAACTTTAGTTAGAATAACTTTATGAAAGTAAAGATGAACGAGCGTTGTTTTCAAAACCACAGCTCAAGTTCATTTAACCTAATTTGACTTATTTTCTTAGTTCAACCAAATAAATAATTACTTTATTTCAATATATAAAAATACATTTGTGAATAATTTTAGTTGTAAATAATTCGATTTCAAATGTTTCAGTCATTTGTTTTTCACTTTTTTCATTCCCATTTAAAATAATTTTTATTGCAAAAAATAAGCGATCTGATGAAACGACTGCAAATCAAATCAATTAAATTTCTCAAGATTACAACTAAACTTTATAAATTCAAATAACTGAATAACTAAATTAAACTAAAGACGTAATATTCTAAGTAATTGAGCCCATGTAAAAAGATAAGTCAAAAAGTTAGGTTAAGCAAACAAAAATTTTAACAGTTTTGTAATTAACGGCTATGACTTTCAGTAACAGGTTCACAGTCACATCTACAGTCATTTAATCTCTTAGACAAATATTTTGAGTACAGTAGTGTCTATTTTTCGCTCCTGCATGACAATATGCCCATAAAGAAGTTATTTACTCTGGAAGAACTTGATCACATGAAGTCCAGACCTGAACACCATTAACTGAAACAGAGTCAATGTGAGTGAATCAGTCATGACCAGGCGACCCATAACCATGCTCACAGTTTCAACATGCATGTGAAAGCTTGAGCTCAGAAGCTTTTATTAACACACTCCTGTATCTTCACATCATTCATCAGTTTGTTAATTATGATGATCTTCATCTTTCAGTTCATCGTGGAGCTGCTAGGAATGTGATTGCGATCGTAACAGCATCTGGAGGATCATTCATCATCATCATCATCATCATCATACTATTTATAAAGTAAATAAAATAAAGAGTATATAAACAATTTACTTTCAAACTAATACAGAAGGATGTTTGATTAGTAATTATATATTAAAGAATGAAATTACTTCGTTTGACTTTCCTTTACTGACAGGAAAAGGATAAAGAGAAGATCTACTGTACAAGAGTATGAGGTGAGATGATCAGATAAGCAAGAAACGGCTAAAATTGTTAAATCAAACAATATCCTTTACTCTGTTTCCCTGTAGACCAATGATCCCAGTGCAAGCTCATATGCAGCTCTAGACCTCAAATCTAGATCTAATGACCTGTACAACACGCTCACAGTAAGTGAAATACCAAAAACTTGTGCATTCAAAAGTTAGATAATATATCAAATAATCAATGTGTTTTTCATATAGACTGTCCCTCCCACACCTGCTGTTCACCAGTCGGGATCTTCTGATTATGAGAATCTGCCAGTAAGTAGGAGATCCTCAGGTCTTCTCAATATAATCAGTAAATGTCCTCACTACTAGTCACTAGATACTCTACAGCCAATCAGTTGCAAAGTAAACTAGATGAGTAATTTCACCAACATCAAACTAATTTAAAAAATAATCTGTGTAATATGTTTTTGTGTCTTATTTGTGTTGTAGCCGTATCACAAGACGCCACAGTAATATGAAGCGCAAATTAAACTTTACTCAACTTTTGTCGCATTTCTGGACAACCACATCACAACTCCTGATGAAAATGAACAGTGTTGGGGAAAGTTACTTTTAAAAGAAATGCATTACAATATTGCGTTACTCCATAAAAAAAGTAACTAATTACGTTACTTAGTTACTTTTTATGGAAAGTAATGCATTACGTTACTTTTGCATTACTTTTTAAATCTGGACAGGGCTTGCTTGTTTGTTTTTAAAATAAAAAAAGTTATATTTTTGGCAAATATAAAAGCCTTTTCACACCAAAAGTGAAATGAATAAGCCTCAGGCTAAAGGGAAAGTAAATTTACGTCCGTACAGTAGAATGCAGAAGAAGACATTTCAACACACTTCAGCAATAAACAAAGACACACAGATGTTTGTCTAGAGTAATGCGTTACTTTACTAGTTACTTGAAACAAGTAATCTGATTACGTAACTCACGTTACTTGTAATGCGTTAAATTAATGAAGGCAAAAAAGTAATGCGTGAAGCTGCTGCTGCTGTTTGTGGAGTTGTTTAATCAGATCTTCAGAGATTTACTATATTCTTTTATTTCAGTTGATTTCATCTTCGGCTGTGGCTGAAGTCAGTTGTAGTTCTTGTGTTTCTCTTTTCTTCAGTGATTCTGCTTGTTAACAGCAGCTGTTCATCACTAATGCTCAATCAGCACTTAATTAATCACTTAATTATCTCATTAACTGCAGCTCTTTTACTCTTTCTACACTCCAGGATTTTGCTGTCGGGTTGAAGGGCTTAAATGTGTGAAACAAAAAGACACATCTGCGAAATGTATTTAAACAGTAATAAATTAAGTAAAGTAAATAAAATTTACATCCAGCAAACAGTAACACTTTAGAATACTGTTCTGTCTTTAATGAATAACTTCACAGGAACAAGTAACTAATGCACTAATAACATTCTAGTAACTACTATTAACTAACAAGAAACTCTGATTAACGATTAGGAAGTAATAGCGCTCAGCTGAAAGAGGTAGTTCACGATTAGCTAATCAGTAACTACTATTTTTTTTCATATATCCCGGTGAACTACTAAGAGCTATATACAGGTTCATAATTAATGTGAATTATGCATAATGTATAATTAATT